CGGGTTGGAGCAGCGTAACTCATCGCTTGCGGCTGAGGCTGCAGAGCTTCGGAAACTTCAAGCGATTGCCGAACTTCTTTGCGGACAGTGTCGGCAATCCAGTCCACTTGGGGCTGTGACGAAGGCAACAGGCTCCGTAGCTCTTCCCACACGATCTGTGGGATCGTCTCACGCAGGTCGTCCGTGCTGAGGGCATGGGCTTCGGTGCATTTGGCTGTTGAAGAGCGACGGCCATACTGCTTTTTGCGACTCGAGCGCCTTCTCAATTGCTGTGGCCTCGGTGAGGAATTCGTCAACAGTCTTGGGTGGGTTGCGAACAAGTCCCGCAAAAAACTCTTGCTTCACACCCCGCATGAAGAAGCGAAGCTTCTTGTCCTCAGTGATGACATGATCGGCGTGCCGAAGCAGTTTCGTCGTCTCTTCCGTGAAGATTGTGACATTTTCGTTTGGCAGCTATACCCAGGTCTCCAGCAAAGCAGCGGCCCTGCCCTTTCTTTGCAGGCGCCGCTCGTGAAAGTTCCCAGGAGTGCGCCACGAAAGAGATCCCAGGAGCGAAGTGCAGATACTCGATTCTCGAACCAGGTCCTGGCCGCGTCTTCCAGCTAAAATTAGACACGACACAGCTTTTCTTTTGGGTCCCACAAAGCTGCTACTCGGTCGTACGTCTCGAGCCAGGTCTTCGGTTCTTCAAATGAAGATCGGTGGAAGATGGGTGGCTTCTTTGGATGCTGCATTACGACCATGGCGGGTGTTGGTCGTAATGCTTAACAAAACTTAATCTTAACAAAAGGATCCACTACAGCCTCAAAGCCTCTCAAACATCGTATGTGCAGATTGCGCTGAACGTAGTGTAACGCGTGATAACAAATCTTGAGGAAAGGAATGTGGCAGTATTTGCAGGATTCTCGTCAGTGACCGCTTCAGTAGAATCATTGGTTATTACAGGTCCACGTGAAGTGTTTTCCAAAACTGTGTGGGGTCAGTTTGCAATAGCTTCGGTAAATGTGTACTATAAAATGAGTTCTTGACTTGACGCAGGGCTACGAGATAACTGCAGTCAGCCTAACAATACTTGTCCCATGCATCTGGTTGTCCTGTATGTGTGGCAGATCGCAATAGGCTTTTCTTTCTATTTCCAAGGCGTTTTAAAAATTTTTTGTAAATCATGGTTTATGGCAAGTGGTTGTGAAACTAATCTCAGGTATAAATTTATTGGTTAGCTCCGTCAGCTTACCGCTAAAGCGTACCGTATGTTGATGCAATGTTTCCTGAAATGTGGGGAAGAATTCGCTGACACTTTCGTTGATTGCCTCATAATCACCTCTGTCATACAGATGAATAGTTTTCTTGCAGGTTTCTCGTTGAAGTGGCTGAAAAAAAAAAGTAGCATGAATTCTCTCATGGTCACTTATTTCCTGTAAGTAGTGAATGTGTGACAGGCTTTCGGTATTTTTTATTAGTATCAGATCTATGACATTGGCTGTATCTTGCAAAACACATGTTGGTTCTGTGACAAGTTGGGTCTTGTTGAAGTTTAGGCACAATCAAGGAAAGCAATAGCTTTGCCTACACCTGTCGATGAATGTAAATTGTTAGTACGCCAGTCCATTTGTGGGATATCGAAATCGCCGATTAAAAGTATGTGCACGTTTGGATGGGCAGACGTGAGCTGGCACATGACCTGATTAAGTTGGTTGCAAAACTAAGAAGTAGCGCGGGGTGGTCGGTTACAAACACCTAGTAAGATAAACTGAGGACATGCCTGAATAAGTACCCATAGCATTTCTAGTTGCGTCTTAGCCTTTATCACTGAGCAAGATAATTGCTCGTGAATAGCAATCAGTACACCACCACCGCGAGTGGATACGCAGTCATTTCGGTACAAGCGGAAGTGTTGCAATTTTAACAGAACTCCATCATCACTGATGTCGCCAGTCAGCCAAGTCTCGTTTAGTATCAGTACGTTACTTTCAGATGATAATACAGTACTTGATATAGGTTCCGGCTTGGGAAGGAAACTACGAATATTAGTGTAAACGCTAGAAAGTAAAAGAGTGTTACTAAGAATAACAATAGGTGTATCAATTTACCACCCTCGCCTTGACTGCTACGATAGTTCTTTGATAGTGTTGGATTGATCATCGAAGATATAACATTTCTGATTTATGTGCAGCATCTTAATGTGGACAGATAATGGCTTGTTCTTGCTTCTCGCAAATGCAATTAGTTGTTTTCGAGCACTTTGGATTGAGTGTGAGAAGTCTTCACCTATGACGTAACATGTCCCCTTGAGCTTGCGACCATTTGATAGTATTGCAGTTTTCTTTTTATGTAGGCAATCTTCGCTATTATAGGCCGGCAGCGGTCAACTGAATGCCGGCCGAGACGATGCGCGCGTTCAATATCTCTTGCTTCTAGGTGCACCTGTAAGTTATCGCGGCAAAGATTTACTACCAGGTGCTCTGATTCGGTGAATGTTTCAGATCCGGAAGGGTCCGGGAAGCCACAGAAAGTTATTTCGCTTCGAGCGATTTTCAGCATCGCCAATGCTTCTAACGGCCTTCTAATGGCCTTCTAACGCAGCGATTCTGCAGGCCGTCTGCTCCGTGCTAGTGCACATGATCTCTACTTCCTTTCGATGTGGTACCAGAGATTGATAATGAGTTTTGAGATCTGTTAGTCTTTTGTTGAGCTCGCTAATTGTTTTATCAGTGTTACTGAGCGAAGCCTTCAAGCCCTGGACATGTGCAATTAGTTGTGTTTGACCCGCTGGCATTTTACCTAACTCAGCAATGTTCTCAGAAACATTTGAAGGGCCAGGGTTGGTTTCAATATCTCCAGCCAGAATTAGTAATGCACGAATTACGTGGACACACTCTGTAATGATAACCATACAGCACTGCGGGCTTGGCAGCTGTACCAGAAATTAATCACCAGATCTTTTCGAAAACATAGCGTAAGGCTCACTAACCTGCACAGCGAGAGTGAACTATTAGTGATCCGTGCAATGGCACAGTCACCAAGCCCACAGTGCTTCACTGAAGGTGCTTGCTTCTTTATAGATGGCGGGCATGTTGCTGTCGACGATGATGCGATCGTCCAGGCTTGGTTGAGCTCAGCTCTGGGTTCCTCTTCTGGTTGATCCAGGCAATTGTCGATGGATAGGAGCTGAGCGATGCCTTTGTTGCCTCTGGGACAGCTGAAGCCACATTCCGTTAATGTTGCCAATGCCACATGCGCAAGCGCAGGCAGCAGCAGATGAACAATGATGTAGCGGACCATCTGCATAGTGAGAGCGAACCGATTAGTGATCCGTGCAGTGGCACAGTCACCAAGCCCACTACGCGACATGTGAGAATTATTCGAGGTGACACGTAAAACTGATATAATTTGTTGTTCAGCAGATGAATGAAAGCTGAGAGAATTGAAACACACAGATGGATTCTGAGTGGATTTTTACTTTTTATTTTATTTCAAGTCGCAGCGAGATGCTATACGTTAATCGGCCTTCGTTTCACATGCATTAAGACATCACCATTTTTGAGTCTTCTCACTGAAACAGGCAATACATTACCCAAAAAGCCAAAAATGACCCAACATAGACGGCGTACGTGCAGGATCAGGCTCGGGCACGTTTTGCGCACATGGCCTTATGTGCACGTGACATGTTAATACATATGCGTCGTGTGATCCTCTGGCTCCGATGCCATGGAAGGCAAGTAAAAAAATTGGCCCGAATCATGTTACATTGTAAATGTTGTCGAAAGACGATAGTCTTGCGTCTGGCTCGTAACTAACCAATATGAAAGATAATCGTGGTACAATGTTCTTCATTTGGCACGCAACAACTTTCAGTGTCTGTCTTTAATTTATGTGACCTAGGGAGGGGCACTTTGAGTAAACTATAAATAAAACAAAAGCCTCATGCACATCACATTTTTTTTTTTTCGTTTGGTCCACACTCTGCTATCTCCTGACTATCTCCAAGCACTCGTTTTAGTTTGTCTCTTTGTCTTTGTGTTGAGTTTGCGCTATAACACTTTCTACTTACGGCTGTAGAAATAGTGTCTTTTCCTCTGAACCTCCTCCTCCCCTAACCACTTGTGCCATATCAGCACTGTAGTGCATGGTTGCCGCCGCGTTTCATTTCGCTGCTGCCAGCGATTGTTTTTCAAAAGTCGATGAAACTAGGGGCCGTGGTCGAACCTCATAGATTTCAAAAAGCCAATTTTGCCCTGTGACATGAATAATGGTCTCTAAATACCGTCGAAAACAGAGTGAGAATAAATCGCATTCATATAGGTGCCGATTTTGAAAATAGGCATTTATGGGCGCTTGTTGGTGTTTAGGCCAGAAAATCACGAATAGGCATTTATAGGCACTATAAAAAACACTAGAAAAACCCCCCTAAACCTCTAAATAATGTTTATATATCAAAATGGTGTGATAGCGATGTGAGGAACAAGATAGGGCCATTTGCCTAAATTTTGGTCTCAGTGATCAACATCAGCCTGACTATGCCTACTGCCAGGCAAAAGCCTCTCCCATGTTCTGCTAGTCAACCTATCCCTGTACTTGCTGTGGCCACATTATAACTGCAAACTTCTTAATCTTATTTGCCCACCTAACCTTCTGTCTCCCCTTCGCACGTTTGCTTTCTCTGGGAATCTAGTGAGTTCACCCTTAATGACCAGCGGTTAAGTAGCCTATGCACTACATGCAGCCTGGCCCATGCCCATTTCTTCTTCCTGATTGGGACTAAGCAGTTCTGAGGTAATCTACTGTGTTCTCTTTCTGTCCCTCAGGGTTACACCTGTCGTTTTTCCTTCTTTTGCTCGCTGCATCACTCTCAATTTAAGTGTAAGCCTCCCTGTTTCTGTGCCTATATAGTGCACTTTAAAGAGTATACCTTGTGAAAACAAGCTGTGATGTTGGGAGGTGTTGTGGAATGTACTTGGAGTAGAGTAAAAGCCTGAACTGTGTTATTGATATTCCGGCAGGTCCTAAAGACACACACTTGAGTAACGAGGTGTTTGAAGATGGCAGCAGCGATGGCGGGGGCTCCATGGATGCTGCTGCCCATGATGAAGCAGTGTGTGAAGGGGAAGAGATCGCATGGGAGGTCGACAGCAGCCATAGTCCAGCCCACGTGGGCATTGGTGAGTAAAAATTTCAAATTTATTTTCATCACTACTTGTTCTGTATCAACAAGTTGCACAAAAATCGAGCATGTTTTTTCTTTATTCTCTCGTTTTGTTAGTAATGCTTCCATCTGGCAAGATCTTCATGCACCTGTGTCTGGATGCCCAGCTCTGCTTCCTACTGCATCACAGCCCGTTTCATTTGGCCACTTTCAGCCTTCCTGCAATGATGTGGTAGAAGCAGCAAGGCATTCTATTCTCTTGGTGATACCCCATCTGTGAATACTGGCTGTTGCACAGAAAGATGCGGCAATTGTGTCCAAAATGGCATGTGTTGCGACTGGGCAGTTTTGATGCATTCATTTAGCTGGTAGTAGACTGCAAGATTTATCATAAAGTGCAGAGACCTGGAATGGATCACCTCAATTGTACAGTTTCCTATAATTACTCTCGAGGGAACTTTGATGCTGGTGTCTATGGCAGCTGCAACACATAATGCTTCAGCTAGCGTGGGAATGATGGGTAGTAGACGGATTTGTCTAAGTTCACTTTTTTTGGCTTTGTGTATTTGTGTGAGCTATACCCGCATTGTCACAAGGTAAAGTTCAACAAATGTTCACCTGTTCTACTTTACCACCTTAAACTTTTTAGGCTCACCATTCTAAATCCGCTCAAGAAGTTTAGAATGATCACTTCTTTTATTCAAAACAAATGCCAAATCATCATCAGCCTGACTACGCCTACCGAAGGGCAAAGGCTTTTCTCAGGATCCGCCAATCAACCCAGTCTTGTGCTTTCTGCTGCCACGTTATACCTGTGAACTTTTTAATCTCATCAGCCCATTTAGTAACTGTCTTTCTACCCTTTGTGCGTTTGCCTTCTCTGGGAATCTAGTCGGTTACCCTGAATGACCAGCAATTATGCTGCTTATGTGCTATGTGCCTGGCCCACATTCATTTCTTCTTGATTTCTGATATGATATCCTTAACCTCGGTTTGTTCCCTGACTCACTCTTCTCGCTTCTTGTCTCTTAAGGTTACACCTATCATTTCCCTTTCCATTGCTCGCTGTGTCATCCTCAATTTAAGCTGAACTTTGTTTGTAAGCCTCCAGGTTTCTGTTCTGTAAGTAAGTACGGGCAATATGCAGCTGTTATATACCTTCCTCTTGAGGGTTAGTGGCATATTACCATTCATGATTTCAGAATGCTTGCCGAATGTGTTCCACCCCATTCTTATTCTTCCAGTTACTTCAATCTCGTGGTTCGGCTCCGCGGTTATTACATGTCCTAAGTAGACATATTCCTTCACATCTTCCAGTGTCTCACCACCTATCACAAAGTGCTGTTTTCTGCCAGAACTGTTGCAGATTACTTTAGTTTTATGCATATTAATCTTCAGACCTAATCTTCTGCTTTCCGTGTACAGTTCAGCAATTATGAGCTGTAAGTTGTCCACCGAGTTACTCATCAAGGCATCAGCAAACTGCAGGTTACTAAGATACTCTTTATTAACTCTTATCCCTAACTCTTCTCAGTCTAGGGCCCTGAATACCTCCTGTAAACATGCATTGAATAACATAGGAGAGATCGTGTCTCTTTACCTTACACCCTTCTTTATTGGGATTCTGTCACTGTCTTCTTGAAGAACCATGGTGGCTGTGGATCCACTGTAGATTTCTTCCTGTATGTTTTGTAGGCTTCGTTGATGCCCTGGTTCTGAAGGGCCTGCATCGCTGCTAATGTCTTGACTCAGTCAAACGTCTTCTTGTAATCTATGACGACTATGTATTGGGGTTAGTTGTATTCCACGGATTTTTTCGTCACCTGGTTGATATTATGAATATTATCTATATTGTGGAGTAGCCTGTACGAAATCCTGCTTGGTCCTTTGATTAAACTCTAATATCCTCTTATTTCTATTAGCTATTATTTATGTAAATACTTGGTAGAAAACGGACATTATGGTGACCAGCTTGTAACTTTTCTAGTCCTTGACGTCTCCTTTCTTATGGATTAAGATGATGTTGGCATTCTTCCAAGATTCCAGTACCCATCCTGCCAAGGCACTTTGCATATAAGGTGGCCAGTTTTTCCAACACAATTTCTCCGCAATCTTTCAGCAGGTTTGTTGTTACCTTATCCTCACCAGCAGCTTTGCTACCTTGCATTTCTTCTAGGGCTCTCCTTACTTTTCCTGTCGTTACTGGTAGGATGTTGAATTCATTTGGACTATTATTGTTTCTCACAATAGTATCCTGGTTGTTTTGGCTTCTTTACAGCTCTCTGTAAAACTTCTCAGCCACCTCGACTATCCTATCCATATTGGTTATGACATTGCCTTCCTTGTTCCTCAATGCATAAATCCGATTTCTGCCTATGCACAAGTTTGCTTTCGCAGCTTTTAGGCTTCTGCAGATTTTTACAGCCTGCTCAATCGTTTTCATGTTATACCTCCTGATTTCAGCTACCTTACGCCTATTGATTAACTTTGAAAGCTCCACTAGCTCTATTTTGTCGGTTGTATTTGAGGCTTTTATCGTTTGCCAGCTCTTAATGAGTTTTTTTCAGTCTCCTGAGATAGTTTGCCAGTGTTCTGTCTAGTTATCATACTTCTGACTTCCATTGCGCACTCTTTATTGATACTAGTAAGGTTATTGTTCCTTGTGTCAAGGCTAATGTCGGTTACTTTGTTAAGAGCTGCGAATCTATTCTGGAGCGAAACTCTGAATTTATTTACTTTCCCTCTCACGGCAAGCTCAATTATTGGCTTCTTGCATGTCAGTTTATGTCTGATTTTTTAAATCTTGGTGATTACGTGCTCTTACCAATCTATGGTCACTGCATCGGATCTTGCCAACTACGTCTGCGTTTTGTTTAATGCCTGGGTATGCACACAGAAGTAAGTCTTATTTTGTTTTTAATTTCACCATTAGGACTTCACCAAGTCCACTTACGGTTAGTCCGTTTTCTGGAGAAGGTATTCAAAATCCGTAAGTTATTACATTTTGCGAAGTTTAGTCGAACCTCGCTACAACAAACGTCGCTTCAACGAAAAATTCACGATTCCCTGTCAGCAGTCCATAGGAGTCAACGCATAAATATTGTCGCCACAATGAACACTTTTTCTTCTGCCATCCCGCTACAACGAAATTTCACGATGCAATTCCAGGCTTAGATATTTATTGCTATACAGTAAACACAACATTTACACATTTTGATGCATTTTAAAACATGAAAATACGTCGACGAAGGCTAAAACACGTGTTAACGCAATCACAAATCGCCGCTCTTCTGCAATCATGGGCTCCGTCATTGCTCGATAGCGATGGTAATGAGACTGCCCCGCTTTTGCCTCTGGCTTACTTTTGGGTCGCAGGCGATCCGAAGCTGAAGCTCAGCCGCTCAGTTCATGGTTTCCTTCACGCAGCTGCTGGGTGCAACCGCGGAACGATGCCTTTTCCCATGACATTGCTTATAATTTTGTTTGCCCTTGGCCAGTGTGCTAACTAATCAGAGCGGCTGTCCGGCCGCATTATCAGCACAATCAGCTAGCCGCGAGTGGTGAACGATAAGAATAGCATAGAGTAAGGCAATAGTCACTGCTGCACGATACCCTGCCTCCATTTCGGCGTTGTCGGAAACACTTTGACGGCGGACAGCTGCCGGTGTTAACGTGTTAATGCACCTGTTTGGTTCGTTTACGAAAGCGGTTGTAGGCATTGTTTCAGCGTGCTTTTCACAATGGCCTCGCTATGCATGGATGAGACTCATGTCGTGACGCTGCTGGCTAAGAATGGGAAGCAGCAGACACTTCTTGAATTTTGAGAGTAAACGTTTTTTTGTTTTGCTAGCTCAGATCAGCTATATTTTTTCCATTTCACTTCAACGAAATTTTTCCTGCACCCCGTCAGTTTCATTGTACCGGGGTTCGACTGTATAATCAAATTGTGTACAGGATTAAGGTTCAAAAATGCTTGTTTCAACCAATTCTCAGAATAACATAATAAAAATCCCCTCTGGCATTTCTAGATCTGATGTCATTGAAGGAAATCTAGCCTCCCATTGAGAAAAAGAAGAGGTTTCTTTATAATTAACCGCAGCCCAACTCCGCGGGTTGCTGCTGTAGCGTATGATCCGAAGGCTAGAACTCTTTGTCCTCTTCATCGTCGATCCTTTTTTCCAACAGCCATATTCCTCCACTGCATGGTCACCAGCCCGTTTCTTGCCTAGTTTGGCATTAAAGTCACCCATTAGTACAGTGTACTGTGTCTTTATTTATTAATTGCTGACTGTAGTTCTTCGTAGAAATGTTTAACCAAATGATCATCATGGCTTGATGTAGGCACGTAGGTCTGTACCACATTTTTCTTGTACATTTTGTTAAACTTAATTACGATACTCGCCACCTCTTAGTGATGCTACAGTATCCTCCATGTTGCCAGCGATATTCCTATGTATAAGAAATGCGACACCTACTTCTTTTCCGTCAACTAATCCACGGTACCATAGAACATGTCCATTCTTCAGCACTGTATAAGTGTTACTTGTCCTGCTAACTTTGTTTAGCCCTATTACATCCCACTTAACGCCCTTTAATTCCTCGAATAGCGTAGCTAGACTAGCCTCACTAGATAGCATTAAACGTAGCCAAGTTCAGATTCTAATGGTGGGTTGTCTGGACCCAGAGATTCTTATCAACCTTCAATGCGTGCGTCGCAAGTGGCTGCCTTTGACAGCTGCTTTGCAGCTGCTGCGGACTGAGGTCCAAGGGTTCATACGTACTTTTATATGGGAGGTAGTGGCCAAGTACTGACCAGGGTGGCCAATTTTGCTTCGGTGAGGGAGTGCATACTGGCAGGTGGTTACCAGTGTGGCCATACTCCAGACCTTTCTAAAATGCCAAAACACTCTAAACAAACCTGCCAGTGCGTTCGAAGCAGCAAGCACGAAGACTAGATAAATCTGTATAATACTCGTCATTCCCATAGTGGCTGAATGATCGCAGCACTAGAGTTTA